AGCAGGGCCTGTTGCGACAGGACAAGGGGGAATGGCTTTAAACTAAAGGGGTGTAGATTTAGACTAGATACAAGGAAGAAATTTTTTACGCTGAGGGTGGTGAAACACTGGAACAGGTTGCCCAGAGAGGTGGTGGATGCTCCATCCCTGGAAACATTCAAGGTCAGGTTGGACGGGGCTCTGAGCAGCCTGATCTAGTTGAAGATGTCCCTGCCCGCAGCAGGGGGGTTGGACTAGATGACTTTTAGAGGTCCCTTCCAACCCAAACTATTCTGTGATTCTATGAATTAAACTTCTGTTAATGCAAGCTTGAGGGCGGAGGTTGAAAATAAGAGTGAAGCACCTTGACCTTAATCTGGGCTCTGTAATAAATGTAGATTACATTAAATTCTGCCCCTATCAATATTTGTCTTTTGAAATTGGAAGTAGGAAAGGGAGAAAAGTAGAATGGTTTCTGATGTGTTCTCATACGCGTCTATTTATATAATTTAAAGTTGGTTGGAAAAAGAAGAAAAATATAAAATCAAAATGCTGTTTGATAGCTACAGATTCGTGACTAACCTGAATTTTCAAATTTACTGCACTTTTCAGATCCTCAAAAGAAAGATCTTCCAGAGACAAAGAACGTTCAAGAGATCGTGATAGAACATCACGTGATAAAGATAGAAGCTCAAGAGAGAGGTCACCGCGAGATTTCAAAGACAAGAAACGTTCTTATGAAAGTGCTAATGGCCGATCGGAAGACCCGAGGAGCTCAGAAGAGCGTGAAGCAGGGGAGATATAACTGGCTGTATATTCACCTGATCTCTAGCTTCCTATGGAGTTGCATACTATGGTTTAGTTTACAGTTGTTCAAAGGGACACCAGTGAGCAGTTCCAGACACTGATCCAACTAGGGTAGATGTACAGTATATAAAAGTGGTTATAACCAAGTCAGAATTAAACCCCATCAATTAATGATGCCTAAAGCTGGGTCCTGGACTTCCACCAAGTTGTAAAACTTTTCTGAAAGATTTCTCTTTATTCAGGACAACAGTTTTATGTACCAGATGCAGATCTCAATGTTTTTAATCTCCTTTCCAATACAAGTTAGTGAACAAATTATATTGTACTACTTGCCTTGGGTGCTTTTGAACCTTTATAAATTCTCCAATTCTGCTCCAGTCAAAACAGCAGCATTGAAAGGTTGTATTTTGGGGGAATTTTTTTGTTTGCTTTTTTTGTAAGAGGGTGGGTGGATGGATGTTAACTTTTACACTAAGGTTATGTTCCCAGTGATTTTTTTTGTTTGTTTGGGAACCTAGGAGTTGATTACAGTGGGAGCATTTAGACAGGAATGTGTGCTGGAGAAAGCGGAAATGTCTTTTTACAGTGCCTATTTAGACTTGGAAATTGAACAGCTGTTGCATTACATCTTTTTTTATTTCTACTTAAATTTTGAAATCAAAGCCAGTCCCATATCTGTACCATTTGATTGGTATGTGTTCAATATATTTGTTTTTTTCCATAAGGACTCCTTCTGCTTTTTCTTGTGGGGTGTAAACGGCACATCCTTAATTGTATTAAAAACAAACAAAAAACCAGCAACAACAAACAAATTAAGAACAAAAAATAAAAAAATAAAAAAGGAAACCACATTGTCCAATAACTTAACAAGGATATACTGGTCTCTTAGGGTGGTTACTTAGCAGTGCAGTCATTGAAAAACTAACATCTGGTTATTAAGAGTTTTTAACATGCACATGTGCTCTAGGAGAAGCAGTCTTTCTGATTACAATCCTCACTGTCCTAAGATCTCCAAGGCAAAAACATGTAGAATCATAATGATCATGGCACAACCACTAACTCCTTAATGACTTCAGTTTCAAAAAGTAGTATTTCATTTAGGTGCAAGCTGCCTTAACATAAAGGGAGTTGCTGTCGATTCTGTTGGACTGAAAGTGCTTTGGGGCATATAAATTTAATTAAGACGTGCCCTACTGTCACACAGAAGAATTTAGAGATTGGTAAGATCTCCTTGAGATAAGCGTCACTGTTAAGAAACTCAGTGGTGCTAAAAGCAGTGTTTGTAATGATGTATTGGCATTTTCGGCAGGTTCTGCAGATTCCCCTCTGTATCTCCCTCGTCCAAGTGCCTCTGTAGGCCCGCTAATTATGGGTGTGTAATATCACTGTAAATTCACTGTGTGCATTTTTCCTCAGTGTTTTTTCTGTAGCTTCTTCAGTATGGTCAGAACACACGGGTGATAATTCTAACACAGCAGATAATTCAGCAGTATTTTGGCTGGCAGTGAAAGCTAGAACAGGACCTTCACATCTCAGCAAGGACTTGTGTTCAACGTAGCACATACCCTCCACTTCCAATTCATGTCGTTTTAAGCTCCTAAAGAAATACTGTAATAATGATGGCTAACTACTTAACACTTTTTTAATTTACCCATTTGAAATCTGAACGTGAATTTCCTTCCTGGGAATGCTTTATGATTTCCTGCGTGGCCCAGCTGCTTGATGAATGTAGGTGACCGGTGTTTGTCACTTACTCTGCTGTGGTATGAGCACGCTGTATAAGTGCTTGCTAACATCTATTGTCATACCTTTGTCACCACTAGAACTCTATTAACAAAAGGTGAACAGTCATTTCTAGATGCATCTTGCATAGCAGAATTGCCAATGAGTGGATTGCTAGCTCTCTTGGAATTCCTTTCTGGAATAAGAATACTCCAGAAATACTGAGGACCTGTCTCCCCCTGCAGCCAGCAAATAGAAATTTTGTATTGTAAAAGGCAGGTGGGAATTCGCATACTGTGACAAAACACTGCTTAGGCTCCTTACTAGCAAATTCTGGATAATATGCCATTGATTTTACAAATGGCTTTTAAATTTAACTATGAAAGAGTGATTGAATTTGGGCCTTTCCTTATTTATAAGTTTGCATGGGTGGTGAGCTTCATAGTATCCAAGTACCACACTGATGTTAAACAGAGAGAAGGTAAGTCTTACCTCTGGTATCCTGATAAAATAATCCGAATTGCATGTGGAAATGCATGCCTCATGTCTGAAATGAGGACTGGAGTGCAGTTAGGAAGAGAACTGAATTAAGGCGATTGATGAAACCCACTTCTTCTGATGCAAGCGATCTGGAACATCTATCAGAAAGGGAGACTGCTTTATTAGTTGTGCCTGAGTAAGTAAGGATCTTCCACCCTTCCGTCAGAACCAAGCTACCTTAATTTCCAGGAGGGTGAAACTGAGATATTCATCACCTGTGTATTTCCTGCTGGACAGCTGAAGAGTGGTATTGACTGACATTAGTTTGCACGGTCAAAATGATTAGGAAAGGGATCTGGGGGAAATAAATCTCTGTCCATCTCTGCTGCATCATGTAAGGGAAGGAGCTTTGACACCAATCAAATAGTTTGGGCTTCATCACTTGTGGTTTTAATTTCCCAGTCTTCAGTAAATGGTTCAACAGTCGTTAAATCTGACTTCTGGTCTAGAACCAGATCATAAATACAATGGCGAGATCATTCAGAAGATCAAGCAGCTCAGCCCACTAACCCAGATCAAATACGTCCGACAGACATGGGTGTCCTAGCTTCACATCACACTAAGTATCATCTGTCCGCACTACTTACGACTTCCCACACCGAGCCTGTTTGCCCAGCTTTTCTCCCTTTGGTTGCTTGTTCGGCCATTGATTCTTAGGAGATTGAGAGAGCCGGAGCCAGGGCGCTAGACCCGCAGGAGGCCGTGGGGGATGCTGCTGTGCAGTAATCTGTGTAGTGAGCTGTGCTGCTACTGCTTCCCTAAGAGATCTCGTGGGTCTGCAGGTCCTTGAGAGGGCCTGAGTGCTCGAGGCCATTCCTATTTGAGGAAAACATCTTCCCTCTCCTGCAAGGAGGCTTACTGCAGCCTGGGAAGGGAACCTAAGGATGCTGTAGCTGAGCATCTCTCAGAAATTTTGCTGACACAGTTGTAGCTCCATGGCAATTTTTATCAGGCTGCAGGTGTACAAATTGAGCTAAAATAGTAGATTACTTCATTTAAGTGTTTGAAAAGCAGTGAGCCTGCAAGCATTACTCCTGTATCTCGGAAGGCTCTCGCTCTGGATTAGTCAGGGGAGCATAAAACAGGAAAACCTTGAGATGGTAAGCAGCTAGAGAATGGCACGTTACCAGAAATGAGGTCCTCTCCTGAATGTATACAAGTTGCTTTTCCTGCTGGAGCAGGAGGAACCATACAGTAAAACAGCGACGTTTCCAAGCAAAGAGGTGCTTGGCCTGGTGCAGCCGTATCGCGTTACCCACCATCAGACTTGCCAATGAAGCTGGCAGAGGAGACTGTTCCTATCTGTCCTCTTGCCTTCCGTCAGGTAGTGAATGTGGGATTTATCCTCCTCTTCCTACAGCACAAACCCTAACCCTGGAGCCCCCTCTCTCTGTCCAATCTATCTTGCACCAGCCTGTGCCTTTGAGGCACCCACCATCCTGCCCCAGGAGCAGCAGGAGAAAACAGGTGAACCAACCCCCTAGGCCAATGCAAATGGATGATTGTGGTCACCTTAAATAGCCTTGGGGCAGGGATTATCTATTTAGCTGAAGGGAGAATGGTAGCAACTTGTCTTAAGACAGCTAAAGGCATGGATGGGTACATCTGAACAAACGGTTTTAGCTATGGGAACTTCAGTATCGCAACAAGAAGCTCCTGTGGTGCTGGAGATGACTCAGTGAGACGTGTGTGCCATCTCCTCCAGGACTGTTAGGGATTCAAGCAGATTGCAGTTGCAGTCAGCATTAAATGAAGTATAAATGCAGAACGAGCTATGTGCCAGAGCTGATGGCAGCGTGTAGTGTGTTGCATAAAGGTCTGATAACCCCCCTGGTTTACTATTCTCCATCCCACGTTTCACATGCCACCTTCCTCAGTATAGTTGTCCTTTGTTCAGCAAACAGTAGACGTTAGTTTCTCCCAATGCAGTGGCTTATAAAAAGTGTTAATGTGATCTTCATTCAGTCCTGTATGGTTCTTGCTCTTTGTTCTTTGCTTTGATCACTTTTTTCTACTTGCTTCTTAATAAATTCTTGCACTGTTACTGCTCATGCAATTCTTTAATTCTTCTTTTCACTAAGACCTGGAGATCTGACTTTCAGCCTGCAAAACTGGGAAGCAGTGAACTGCTGGGCAGGGGTTGTATCAGCAGCTGGAAATATGGGGGAAGAGAGGAAGAAATGCTTGTTTCTACCACAGGCTCTCCTCTTTATCCCTGCTTTGCCATTGGCAGGCGCATAATGGACAGTCAGCAGGCAATTAGAAAATTCTCTCATGACTTGGTCTCTCCTGGCTCTGGCTTTTCACCTCCTGTTGCTGGGGTAACCGTAGTCCCAAACCGCTTCCCAAGCTCTCGGTAGTGCTGTGCAGAGCACTGCAGGCAAGCAGCATTCTAGGAAATGCACCAGCAAGGAGTTGGGATTAGCTAGCAACAAAGCAGGGCTGGCCACGGGCAAGGTCAAAAAGGGCCTGATGGATAGCAGGAACTGCCGTGGCTGTACAGCCCTTTCCCAGGCAGAAATGATCTGCCGAATGCTGACTGTAGTAAATAAAGCATTGATGGCGATGCTCAGTTAGGAGCACAAAGGTTAGAAATGGTACCTGGTGCTGGCTCAGAGGGGCTGCAAACTTTCACAGCACCAGCCATCAGGCACCACCAGCACCAAAGGCCTGCTCGAGCCTCTGCGTAGCCATCACTAGAAGGTGATAACTGAGTTGGGGACTTTGCATCTAACTACTGTAACTTATTAAAGTGCTGCCATCTTCCGAAGTTCAAACTGGTTTGCAACAGAGCAATGGGAGCAAAGAACTGCTGATTTCCAACAGGTGAGGGCAACTGCTGCCTTGATGGAGGGTGGGACCGTAATCCAGGTGTCAGCTTCAATATTTCACAGCCATTGTCTTCCTTGTCCTAAAATTCTGCCTCTGCTTGTAACCCTGTGCAAAGCTCTGCTGGTGGCCCGCGCTAATGGGAAGTTTCAGTGCGATGTCGGGATCAGCCTGCTCTGCCTGACAGCAGTGGTTAGCAGCTGCCGGGTGTCCTTGGTGGACAGCATGGGAAGGCTGGATGGAGATCAGCAGCACCGGCATCACCAGCAGCATGTCCCCGATTCGTCTGCTGCCATGTGGTTGTGCAGGGGGGAGGTGAAGCACCGTGTTGCTGCCTGTGAGAGACATGACAGCAGTGCTTCCTCCTGGGGAAATGTTTCCAAGGACATCAGAAGCAGAAGCCTGGGCTCTCCAAGGCGAGCGTACAAAATATTCTTGCAGTACAAGAGGGCTGCTATTTCTACTGTCCACTGAGTAAGCAAACAATTCAGTCTAGGATGCTGCTGGCTCACACCAGGAGAAAAATCACTCCTGTGTGTCTTAGGCTTGTTTGATACTGACCATGTGCAATCTGACCAGTATAACCGTGCCCTGAACTGGCTCAAACCCACTCCACTGCGTAAGCCAGAA